TTCTTTCTTTCTTTCTTTTCTTCTTTCTTTTTCTTTCTTTCTTTCTTTCTTTCTTTCTTTCTTTCTTTCTTTCTTTCTTTCTTTCTTTCTTTCTTTCTTTCTTTCTTTCTTTCTTTTTGTTTTTTTGAGACAGGGTTTCTCTGTGTAGCCTTTCCTGGAACTCACTTGGTAGTCCAGGCTGGCCTCGAACTCACAGAGATCCGCCTGGCTCTGCCTCCCGAGTGCTGGGATTAAAGGTGTGCACCACCACCGCCCGGCTTCCTTTTCTTATATTAACATTTTACTTCTTCCCATGTCCTGTTATAAATTGCTTTTATATTTTTAGATATAATGAAATGTGAATAGAAAATATCAAATTTTGTAACACTAATCCTTTTAACCCTGAAGTATTCTTTAAAAAGCTACTTATTGACACTATAAAATTCCATTAGTTTGCTTATAATAAATAATTATTTGTCTCTGGAACTTAGTCACTTCCTTTGCAAGCAACTACAATGGAAAAAAAAAACATGGTGATTTAAGTAGTTTAGAATAAAGGTATTATTTACTTTATGCCCACATAGAAAAGCGTTGTTTTCTTTTATCAACAAAGCACCACATTATATATTATTGCACTAGAACAATGGTTCTCAATTTGTGGGTCATGACCCCTCAGGGTGGAGGGTGGCTGAATGGCCCTTTCACATGGGTCGCCTAAGACCCCTGGAAAACTCAGATACTTACATTACAGTTCATGACAGTAGCAAAATTATAGTATGAAGTAGCAATGAAGTCATTTTGGCTTGGAGGTGACCACAGCATGAGGAACTGTATTAGAGGGTCGTTGCATTAGGAAGGTTGAGAAGCACTGCCTTAGATCATTTTCTGTCTCTTCCTCCCTTCACCTCCTGTTGTCAACTGTATGGCTTTTGTCAACTGTGGGACCTTGTGCCGACCACATCACTTCCTTCTTACTGTTTGCAACACTGATTCTCCAAATCTACTGGCTAAACTATTTTTTAAAAAAACTACTTTTAAACTCCTGGAATCTCAACAAATACAAAGAACTATTGTCATTAAATATCAATACAGGCAGAATAAGGGATCAGCAAAGGTACTTGAAACTGGAGATTAATTATAAGTGCCTAGTTATCAACACTGGGATATAAAATCTAACAGGGGGCAAGATAGAAGCAAGTTATTTTCAAATTCTCACTAGTGGCAAGATCCTTGCAAGTAAGCCTCTTTCATGTTTATAGAGCAATTTATTATTTTCAGAGTACTTGGATATACATAATCTGATTTGATCGTCGAGAAACCCCAGCCAGGCTTGTATTATTATCTCTATTTTATAGGTGGAAGATATAATTTACTTCTAAGCCACTAGTTTAAGAACCAATAAAACATAGGTGGTTATTCATACTAGTAAACTTCTCAGCTATAAACTTATTAGTTTCCCCCAAATAGTAATTGTGAGCTGTTAAAATACTTTGTCATAATTAGAAATTTGCCCTAGATGGCATTTAGCACCACCCAGAAGCTTTCCTTGCTTGTGATTTGTGGAATCTTTGTCCTGGCCCTCTAGCTATTTCAGGAACACCTATCTTAAGTTTTTCAGTGTTCTTATTATCTGGCAGGAAGGAAAACAGTAGAGATTCAATTTAGTGTCTAATGTGGAGAGGAGAGGACAAAGAGGGCTTGTGATAACTGCCTGTGATAATACATTTCTTGAAAAGGCATATTATTGGTAAGTACCTGGAGCTTTTCCAGTAATGCAAGGATTATCCAGCCAATTCTTGATGTGTGTGCATGTGAATGCATGAATGACTCTCCTCTCTGTCTCTCTCTGTGTCTCTCTTTGTGTGTGTGTGTGTGTGTGTGTGTGTGTGTGTGTGTGTGTGTGTGTGGGTGGGTGTGGGTGTGGGTGTGGTTGCTGGTGATGGAAACCAGAGCCTTGCTCAGGCCAGGGAGACTTTCTAACACTGAGTTCAATCTTCAGCCTCAGCCTCAGCCAAACCTTAGAGCAAAGGAGATTTGTTGTAATATTTAGAGGTGGGGAAGGAAGGCTGAAAAGAGGAAATCAGTGTAGGTTTGCCATTCCGAAGGAGACTGCCAACGAGAACCTGTGTCAGCAATGGTGTTACATAAAACCAAGTGGGTAGAAACAGGAAGTTGCCTTTCTTATCTCTCTTAGGCATGGAAAATACCTAGCAGTGATTTTTGTCCATAGCTCTGGTTCTACATTATTTAGATTTAAATCCTTGCTTCAGCATTTACAGTCTGTGTGACCTGAGGCATGTTGTTCAACTTCTGTGTGTCTCAGCCTCTAGTTTCTAAGATGTCATAAAATAGTATGAATGGCCAAGCATGATTTTAAGAGTTGTGTGAAAAAATGCCTGTAAAGTGCATAGTACTCAGGATGCATTGTAGGAGATATTATTACAGACAGTGTGACTTGCTATTTGGTTCTTATGCAAGATAAAAGATTTATTTGGATATTACCAGGCAAAACGATACAAACAAACAAAATCCCCTATATTCAATGCATGTTTATAGACGTTTTCCTATATGAGAAATATAATATAAAAAGTAAATGGTATGGTAGCTGGCTTGAGTAGGGACAGTAGGTTGCAGAAAATTGGGTGTGCTGAGGTTTTTGAACAATAGGTGCAGACTAACTTCTTAGGTCAAGAAAATGAAGTGGCTAGTTGCTGAAAAGATGTCCAAAGACCTGGTTTTTAGTCCTTCATCTGCCACTGATAAGTTGTACAGATTTGGACAGCTAGTCTTCCTCTTTGGCTGTTGTTAGGTCTTCATTAAAAAATAATTGGATTTCTGTCCAGATGAGTTGTTTGATATGTGTTCAGTATGTCAGAGACATTTCAGATTGTGTATGTGTGCGTTCATTACTTCCCCTTCCTTTTGTCTTCAGGTTTCCATCTACCTTGTGAAGAATTCCTGGAGCCAGTGCACGAGTGCCAATCTCAGTGCGTTAGTGATAGTCCTGCAACCAGGAAGCCAATGATAGAATTGTCTTTCTGTTCCTTTGGGAAGGCCTAGGTTGGCTCCAAGGTGTAACTCAGGAACTTATGTTAAAAACTTATTCACAAATGGCTCCAAGAGCCATCTATCCTAATTTGTATGCTTAAGTGTTTTGGACTGATATAGAAAATGGTATTTAATAGCTGGAGTCCAATTTCAGTAGCCAGTGGGTAGAAATGAGACAGATGATTTTAAAACTTTCTACTAAGATCCAGTAATTTGATCCCAAGACTCTGATGGGTCACAGTTGAAGTTTGTCAATATTGGAATGTTTTAGGTGAGCTGGTTGAAGTGGGTGGAATAACAGAAGAGCTGTACCTTCCACTTAAACTGTGAAGGAGAGCAGAAAGGTGGTCCACAAATCATTAAATGCATAAGCTTTAATTCTCAAATTTCCATGACATAGTTAGTCCCAAGAATACAGATTCAAAGAGAAATGTGCAAAATTAAGCATGGTATTTTCCCCTAAATTATAATTTAATTTTCTTCTTCTATTTTTGAGATTATAACAATTCCATCTTCCCCCTTCTCTTTCTTACATACAAAATCTCCCATACACCTCTCCTTGTTCTTTTTTAGTTCATATCCTCTTTTTCATTAATTGTTACAATCATATCTGTATAGCTCTTTCCAAAGCTCAGAAAACACAGTGGAAAGGATGTAGGAGCCTGAATATGACAAGACACACAGTAAAATGTCTTCTGGATATGACATAGCCATTGGACTCATTGAAGATGTGGCTATTTGAATAAGACCCGCAAAGACGGGGAAATGGGCTCTTCTTGAGCAACTCACAACAGTTAATGGTGGTTGGGGAAGAGTGTATCATTTTCTTTGGCAATGTAGCCACTGATAAGTTGCCTCTGCTCCAGTAAGTAATCTCCCATCTATGCTCATGTATACAGCACTAACTAAACTCACTTTGTCATAAGCAGAAAAAAGACACAAGTGTAGACGGAAGAATTGTTGAGAAGTGTTTCAGCAGGAGGGAGGGAGGTTAGCAGAGGGAAATGGAGGTCCAAAAATTACTAAAATTCATTATATACATGTATAAAATTCTCAAATAATTTAAAAATGAAAAAAAAGATTTTAAAATGAAGTAGCTAATTGTATGTGTTAATCCTCTAAATTTTGATCATAAAAACAGTGTTCTTCAGATCTAGGAAAGCTCACCTTGCATCCTGTGGCAAAGAAATGCTCTTAGAGTTTAGAAGAGAAAAAGAGAAGTCCCGATTTTCCCTTTAGATGTATCACTCCTCTTGTGAGTGGTGTGGACAATGTGTTGGAGACAGGAATGGCTGTATAAGGTCCTTGATGACAAGATCAGTTAGAGTTAAGAGTTGTGATGAGGAGACAGGGTGGAAGAGGTGAAGAAGGCTTAAATGCTGAGAGGTGGCAATGATATGTACTGATAGGAAAAATGGGCAAATCTGGGATAGTGGAGAGCAGACAGTGATGACTTAAGAGTTATGAAGAAATAGAACAAAGTTCTTAGTTTTCTGAGGTCTTCATGTAGAGTTTTGAATTTGTTACAGAGTCAGATTATTTCAAATACTGTTATTTTTCTTAGAAAATAGCATACCTCAGTATGTTTTGTTTACATCTAGGAGAAATGATTACTATGAATATACGGGTGTCCAAGTTTCTCCTATGCACTAGTAGGGACATTCTGCTGGGTTTGATTTCAGTAGGAAGGCTTCTGGAAGCCCCTATATCTTAATCAGAGTATCAATAAGTGTGTTTGGTTGAGATTTTACAGTTTTCTTTATTTGGGTTAGTTTGGATTCTTAGGGGACCAGAATCCTCTTGTTGCAACTGCATTCAGTCCGAAGTTGATTTCCATTTCCATGGTTCAAGCGGTACAGTTTCTCGTTTCGGTAGAAAGTACACAGAGAACTCCCAGAAATATTATTAGTTACACTCACCCACACGACTATTTAAGTATGGTAAAGTCAACCTGTTATCTTCTCCCTTCTTAGAGTGGAGCCTTCATCACACTAAATCCTGGAGAAATGGCTTTTGTGGGTGTGGATACCAGATGCCTGGGTCTCTTTCTTCTTTGCACAATAATTGGACATTCTTTGGAGATAAAAGGTAAATGAATAAATTAAATTTCTTTTAATGGAGTAGTCTTAAAGAATACGAATGGTGTTTTCACTCTGTATCATGAAAGTGTAAAACCAGTAGATAACGTTATTAGTAATGTTTCCATGATATAAAAAAATATGTTCTTGGTAGTTACTCACATGTATAAGGTAACTAATGATCATGCTCTCTTAGGTAAAATGCCAAATTATAAAATAATTTCCAGACCTCTTGTATAGGATTCTTTGAGGAAATGAATAAGTATTTGAAAATTATGTTCTTCTAGCACAACTTGAGTCTTATGGCAATTGGATAAAACAGAAAATGGAAGTTTAAACTAAAGTATACAAATAATCTGAATTTCTCAGCATCTAATGGAACATTGAATTTGACACAGATTTCTAACCTTAAGGATGAAAACCACAAGGATGTTGTGTCATTCTCAATGGAGAATTTGATCAGAATCCCTAGTCAAGGTGAAGTACTGAATCAAACAGCATTCAACAGAGAGAATTAGCCAAATGATATCATGAAGGCAATACTATAGTGCTACTTGACTTGTTACTTAGAAAGTTTATAGGAAGGCTTGGTTTGCTAAACTCAGGGAGCTATATATTCAATTAACTCCACGGACTACTCACAAGACATGCTTTAAGGTGCTCAGGCATAGTAAATATATTTTCCCACCTTTTTTCACGTCTGTCACAATTTTTTATGCGGATCATAACAAGATACTGAATTATTATTGATTGGTTCCCACTACTAGAAACATTTATATATCTATCATTTATATAATATTATACAAATTCTGGTGTATATGTTCACCAAGAAGGTTCCACAGCAAGTGTATTTCTGTGCAACCATAGTTCCTAGAGAGGCAAAAATCACATTTTGCTTATGTAGTTTCTTTAAAAAAGATAGCTACACAGAAAAATTATGGACTTCAACAGATTTATTTATATAACAGAAAATTATCCCTTTTCCAATGTACCATTTGAAGATTATTTTAGTATATCCACAAAGTTATGAAACCACTACTGCCATCAATTTCCAGAATTCCTTCACTCTCTTCCAGAGAAACCCTGTGCCTGTGGTGACCACTAATCTACTGTCTTCACCTATGGTATTTAAATGAAATCACTGGATATGTGGTTTTATGAGACAGGTTCCCTTCACTTAGCATAATGTTTCAGGGTTTTTCTAATTATAGCCTTTTATCAGTGCTTTATTCTTTTAATAGTTAAATAATATCCCATCATATAGAAATGCTTGAATTTTTATCCAGTAATCAGGTGATGGGCATTTGAAAATTATTCACATTCAACAATATTCATCATAAAATACAAGATAAATATAAATATTTTCTTAATTTCATTTCAGTTAATCCTCCTCAGGATTTTGAAATAATGGATCCCGGATTACTAGGTTATCTCTATTTGCAATGGAAACCTCCTGTGCTTATGGAAAACTTTAAGGAATGCACATTGGAATATGAGTTAAAATACCGATATGTTGACAGTGACGATTGGAAGGTAAGTGAATCATGGCTTGCAACATCAGAGTGAGCTGATCATTAGATCTTTTCTTGTAACCCTGACTCTATTAACCACTACTTTGTGTGCCTTAACTGTTCTATCAGTATATGAAAGCTGTCATGTGAGTTTCTGTGCATCTTCATGAATATATTTACACCTTGTCCATTAGTAAGACAACCCTTGGAAGTTCAAGAAAGAAAACTAGGTCTCATATAACTTGAAGAACATTTGTGTATTTTGCTGTACATTTACAGTTTCTTGTTATATCAGTTCATTTTCTACAATTCTAACAAAATATCTGATGTTGAGTTAAATCTTCACATACACATTACAAAACACAGCATTGTTCTTTACATGTATGGCAAGATTTCATTGAATGCTTATTGAATTGTCAACTATTTATACAGCAACTATTGTGTTCATTCAGAGCTCTGTTGCAGGGGCTATCCCATTGGCTCTGTAATGCAGATAGGTAGTTTCAATGAGCAATTCAAGTTCAATATTTATTGAATGAAGTTTTAGACAAAATACTTGGTAAGTTTCAGAAACATAAGACTCTATCGTAGATGATTTTATCCTTTAAAAACTTACCAATTGTCCAGTTTTCTTCAGATACCCCTGAGACTTTTTCTATTTTATGGGATTCCTGAAAGTTTCCTGGAAGTGACAAATGATTGGCCATGCAATACACATATTGTTGAAAATTATCTATTTAACTCCAAGTTGTTAACAGCTCATGCCCCATCACAGAGCCTTTCCCCTTACTAAATGTTTTCTATTTTTTTGTTTCAAATGACCTTATCAAATAATATCATCTACAGAGGTGATCTCTGCCAGAAATACATCTGGGGTACTACAGTGAATAATTATCTTAGATTTTAATAATTGTTGATTCTTACTAATGTGGATCACCTTTCCATATATTTCTAAAATGGACTGTGTTTCATCTTTTTATCAAATAGACCATCATTACTAGGAATCTAATTTACAAGGATGGGTTTGATCTTAACAAAGGCATCGAAGGAAAGATACGTACGCATTTGTCAGCGCAGTGTACAAATGGATCAGAAGTTCAAAGTTCATGGATGGAAGCTTCCTATGGGATATCAGATGCAGGTTAAAACAAAGTCTCTCTTTTCACATTTCATACTCTTAGGAAAAAATCCATGTAGAGAATAAGTTCCCTAACACTTATTTAGATGATTGTATACACAGTAAATCATGTGATGATTGCACAAAAAATAGAATCTTTCTTAGCATAAGTGTCTTGGGTTTCTGAACTCATTAAACCAACAAACTTTGTTTTTAGTAAATCTACATCTTATTAGTAGAGTCCTCAGCATGGAGCCATATTAGTAAACATGAATGGGTATTTGCTCAATCGCTGAGAACATCTTGTAATAATTAATTTAATACTGAGACATAAACTAGCATCAGTAAACAAGCCCTCAAATGTTTTCAACTTTGCAATATCCTCCTTACAGTGAAGTGATTTCTGATAGCTTCCTTTTGCACTGTTTCTCATTATGCTGATTGCTAAATGGAGTAGCAGGGCCAAAGGAAATAAAATTGCATAGTGGTTACACAGAAGATTTGTCACCATGTCTCTCAAGTATTCATAGTTTGTTCATTTCCTAGGAAGCCTGGAAACTAAAATTCAGGATATGAAGTGTATATATTATAACTGGCAGTATTTGGTTTGCTCTTGGAAGCCTGGCAAGGTAGCACATTCTGATACCAACTATACTATGTTTTTCTGGTAAGTATTTTTATACTTAGAATCTCTGTCAAGATTAGCTCACAGTACAATCAACTATATTCCAACTGAATTACAATCACTTTCTTCACCAGAGTTTTATTTATGATGATAATTATTCATAATTATGTGAGAATTTCAGGCTGAAGATACTGCAAGGCATCCATCCTGTGACTATTTCTATACAGGATGAAATATTATATCCTACACATAGCCAGGTTTATAATCTAAAAGTTTGCATATATTTTATACACTTAGCTTTTAAAAGCAGTTATCTGTTAAACTGAATCTTCTTGCTGTTTCTTTCGTGTCTGTTCCTGAAGCTTTTACACACAGAGCCATTTAAAGATTTCATTTCCTGTGCATGTTTAATATTTAATACATTCTGGTCACACTCACCCTCCCCCATTTTGTTTCCTTCCCTCCCTCTCAACAAGCCCCTCCTACTTTCGTCTCTTTGTTTTAATTCTCATGTTGGGGTCAGCTGAGTTTAACTAGGGCCACCTGTGTGGGCATAAGTGCGGAGCATGGGTGACTGATCAGTGAAAACACAGTCCCGCTCTGCCAGCAGCCAGTTCCTTAATTGCTTTGTGGTAAGACAATCACCACATTCTGACTTTCTTTTGCTAAGTTGCACATCTGTTTTTCATTTCCCACATCTACTGTAAGAACCTTCCTTTAGACTCCTCCCATTCCTTACCTGGATGACTGCCGGGACCTCCCAAATGGTGGTTGCTCTGATTGCAGCATTTTTTTTTTCATTTTTTTCGAGACAGGGTTTCTCTGTGTAACAGCCCTGGCTGTCCTGGAACTCACTCAGTAGACCAAGCTGTCCTTGAACTCACAGAGATCTGCCTGCTGCTGCCTCCCTAGTGCTGGGATTGAAGGCTTGAGCCATCGCAGCCTGGCTGATTGCAACATTTTTCCTTCCTGCTTGTTTTGCACATTGTAGCTACCTTTTTCTTCCTTGTGATTTTTATACACCACCCCCTAGACCGTATAACCCCAGTGGCTACACATTATGCCCAGGATCAAATCTAGGTTGCCTTTCAAGTTTTTACCTCACTGCATTACTACCTTTCCAAAACTGTAGTCTGCTATGGCCAGTGCCAGTACTCTATTCAGTGTTGACTCATCTCGACATTCTTTTTCATGACTTTTGTGCGTCCTGCAATCTGGAATGGCCTCTGGCTCACCCTTTTACCAGTTCTTTTTCATCCTTCCAGGCCTATGAGATGACTAAATTCATTGACCCTTGGCTGATCATGCCATTTTCTGTTCACCTTTGCGGCTGAACTATTGCTTCTTACAGCTCTTTCTTTGTTGTTCATGTGGTGCTTAAACATATCTCTATGTATAGTTTGTCTCCTCAAGTTCTTTTTTTTTTTTAAAGATTTATTTATTATGTATATACAGGCCAGGAAAGGGCACCAGATTTCATTATTGATGGTTGTGAGCCACCATGTGGTTGCTGGGGATTGAACTCAGGTCCTCTGGAAGAGCAGCCAGTGCTATTAACCTCTGAGCCATCTCTCCAACACCCCCACCCCTTTTTAAAGACGCCTTTTTTTGTTTTTGTTTTTCACGATGGAACTTCGGTGTGTAGTTTTGGTGCCTGTCCTGGATCTCACTCTGTAGACCAGGCTGGCCTTGAACTCACAGAGGTCCGCCTGACTCTGCCTCCCGAGTGCTGGGATTAAAGGCGTGTGTCACCAAAGATGCCTTCTCCTCAAGTTCTTTAAAGATTGGTGGACGTGAACCAATTCTTACCTTTCTCTTACCTGCCTACAGAAGGCACAGTGGATTAATACTAAATGTTAACTAAATGAATGAAAATGATGATAACATTGATAAATGGAAAAACATCAGAAATTATGCATTTACTAAAGAAAGACAGAGCAAGAGAAGACAAAATTGTAGTATTTGTGATCTTTAAGCTCAAACTGTGATTGTATCTTTTAAAAGAAAAGCATGATATATAAATGATTGGGTATAATGGGTTAATGCTTTTGAGAATTGGGCTCTAAACCCTGCTCTGGCAGCAAGTATCTGGGTAGATTTGGGTAGACAATTCCTATGGGGGAAATGTTTGACTTTCCATATCTTGAATTGGATGGATACATTTCTAATTTTTTGGTCACTAAATCAATAAATATTAAACATTTATTAAATGAAAGACATTGCTCTTGATTTTAAAAGACAACAAACACACTTCACGTTGTCATTCATGCTTAACACAACCTTATCCTTACTTAGTGGAATGGGGAGAAATAAACCTTAACATTTTACAGATTGTGAATCATTTTTCACTGACAAAAAGTCACGAGTCAGTCTTCGTAAACTCGAGCATCAGTTGGACATAGTGATGTATATCTGTCATCCCAGAATTTGGGAGGGTAATGTATAACAATCATGAGTTTGACACTAGGTCCCTGGGCTACATATTAAGTTCCAGGTTAGTGTATAGTGAAATCCTGTGTCAAAGCACAATAAATAAACAAAGTCAGTCATAGATAAAAAGTCTCCCAGGCTGTAAGCAGGCAATTTAACCAGGAGAATACAAATTAGAAACCCTTTCCTAAAGTAGGACACTTAGTATAAAGTTCATTTAACAGAGTCTAGATATTTTCAGTAGCTCCTTAACAGCTGTTACGTTGGTCTTATTTCAGAAGGGATTTTTGGCTGCTTTTTAAGCCAAAGTTACATTTTTCACTACAAGCTAGTCTTTAGAAAAATATATCAGGAATTATTGCTTTATAAATCAGTTGCTGACAACTCCTTCCATTTCCATCAGCTGTATTGCTGAAACAAAGCTAACCTTAAATGACATGGTAAAATTTCTTAAGACAAAGGGAAAATTACACTGTACTTGACAAACTACTTTACCTTGTTCGTTTCACCCCCTTCTCTAGCTGGTTTTTCTCAGACTTACAGAGTAGTGTATTATAACATCTGTAGCTGAAGAGTTTCTCTCCAGCTCCCGCCAAGCCCCAGCAGGTCCACAGCCCACTTATAAAATAAACATACAGACTCTTAGATTATTTAAACTGTTTGGCCTAATGGCTCAGGCTTCTAGCTATCTAGTTCTTACATCTTAAATTAACCCATTTCTATAAATCTATACCTTGCACGTGGCTCGTGGCTTACCAGTATCTTAGATGTTGGTACTCATGGCGGTGGCTGGTAGCATCACCTCACTCAGCCTTCCTGTTCCCAGAATTCTCTTCTCTGCTTGTCCCACCTATACTTCCTGCCTGGCTACTGGCTAATCAGCATTTTATTTATACAGAGCGATATCCACAGCACAGAAGATTTCTTTTTATTTTATAAAACTTAGGAATGTTTTATATCTGCTTTTAAATCTTCTTTCACTTCAAATAATTTTCTCAGTCAAATATTATCAAGGCTACCTTACTATTGCAAATCTTTTGAGTCAACAAAAACTAAATTCATGAATAATGATACTTGAGTTTCTTTGAGATGTTATGAAGATTCATATTGAACTGAAGCTCCATAAAATCAACTATGTCTGTTTTTCTTGCTGGTGAATACACAGTACTTATCATTGCATGTAGCAAATAGCATTTTTCTTCATATTGTATCCTTTTTATAACAACGTTTTTTGAGAATTTGTACATGAGTACCGTATTCACATTGTTTCTACCTTTCTCTCTCCTCCCTACAATTGCTCTTGTGACCTCTCAAATTCATGACCTCTTTTAAAAATTGGTATTGTTACATATGTATATGTATTTGTATGTGTTTATCTCTATATAAATATATATATAATTTACTGAATCAATATACTGTGCTCATATGTATATTTCAGATAATATCGTAAAATGATTTAAAACTGATCACTGGGATTAAAAAAAAGATGCTACTAAGCAATTCCTGAAATATTTCTTTTGTTATAGGTATGAGGGCTTGGATCATGCCTCGCAGTGTTCCAATTATCTCCAAGATAATGAAAAAAATGTTGGATGCAAACTTTCCAACTTGGAGTCATTAGACTATAAAGACGTTTTTATCTGTGTTAATGGATCCTCAAACATGGAACCTATCAGATCCAGCTATACCGTTTTTCAACTTCAAAATATAGGTGATGTGAACAAATAATGTGAACTTCAAATCCATTCATTCTAGTTTTGGCTGTTTCTAAGGGAGCAGGAGAGGCAAGAGGAGAGAATGAGATTTACAACAGCGATTGAAGTACAAAACCAGAAACATAAAGGCCGTAGAGTAGACGAGGAAGTAGAGACGTTATTGAGTGAAATATAAAACAGCGTTATTTTTAGAGATCATAATTCATTTTCCAGCTTGAAAGAGTCTCTGCTATTTAGTGTCAGTGAATTACTAGTTGTAGACTCTATTAACCTTGGTTTCAAATGACAAACCAATGAAAACCAAAACATTTTTATGCCTTCTGAATTTGTATTCTTCATTTTAACAGTTGTAAGAATGAGAGGTTCTAGAACTGGACAGACCTAGCTTTGAACTCTGGGTCTACCATTTTCTTTTTCTTTTTTCCTTCCCTTTCCTTTCTCTCTCCTTTCTTTCTCTCTCCTTTCTTTCTTCTTTCTTTCTTTCTTTCTTTCTTTCTTTCTTTCTTTCTTTCTTTCTTTCTTTCTTTCTTTCTCTTTCTTTCTTTCCTTCCTTCCTTCCTTCCTTCCTTTCTTTCTTTCTTTCTTTCTTTCTTTCTTTCTTTCTTTCTTTCTTTCTTTCTGTCTTTGTTTCCTTCTTCCTTCCTTCCTTCCTTCCTTCCTTCCTTCCTTCCTTCCTTCCTTCCATTCTCTTTCTCTCTTTATTTCTTTCTCTCTTTCTTTTTAAGACATGGTCTCACTGTGTGGCACAGGCTGTCCTGAAACTCACTCTGTAGACCAGGCTGGCCTGGAACTCAGAGATTCACCTGCCTCTGCCTCTCAAGTGCTGGAACTAAAGGTGTGTGCCTCCACACCCTGGGGTCTACCATTTTCTAATTGTATGAGTTTGGGTGATTGACTTAAGGTCTCTGTTTCAATGTCCTTGTCATGTACATGAAGACAGTGGAAGACCACACAACACCCTGGTGCAATGTCAGATGTATGGATCATAAGATTAGTTAGAAAGTGTTCACAATAGTAGTAGTTGTGGTTTGGTTGCAGTTTAAAAAGTTGCAAAGTGGGGAAATGATTGCGATAATTTGGGTCTTCTTATTTTTCTTCTGGGCCTTAAATGTTTATCACTGTGCAATTTATTAAGAACAAATGAACAAAAGTGAGTTTCCCAAATAACCAAATTTCTCAAGAAGTTCATCTTGATGGGCAAGCAACGTTGGTCTTCAGTGACATCATGAGAATAATCTTGAGCCACTTGGTTTGTCCCTGAAAGTTTGTGTTGGAGTGTCCCCAGCTTTGGATGAGGGCTGCTGCTACCTTAGCGACTTTCATGCTGAAACAGTCGCCTTCTGCTTTTTAGTTAAACCGTTGCCACCAGAATTCCTTTATATCAGCGTGGAGAATCCCACTGAGATGAGAATGAAATGGAGCACACCTGGAGGGCCCATTCCACCGAGGTGTTACACTTACGAACTGGTGGTCCGAGAAGACGGGATTTCCCGGGAGGTATGCTGTACTTACCTGCTCAAATCATAAAACTAACATTGAATTATAACAGGGTACCGGAGAATCCAAATCTGTTGCTGCTCAAAAGAGCGACGGACCATGACAAGTATTTCTGTTTACTTTCCAGAAGGCTAAATCCAGTGGACAAAGGAAATATTTTTAAAAAGTACAGCTAAATCATGCCAATTTTAAAGTTGCAAAAGATCCTGGAGTCAATCTAGTTACTTGTTTCCAATTTTATCTTAATAAATTAAATTACAAAACCACCCATGAACACAGAAATCACTTCTTGAGATACAACCATGAGGTCAAAATTAAGAGTCCTCAGGAGTGCAAGAGATTTCCTAGAGAGGTGGGGCTTGTAACAGGGATGATGGTTGTGAAATTAATTACTTCCAAACATCAAGGATTTGGTGACTTCTTTAACCCCACTTTGGTGTATGTTGCTTTGATTTATTTGTTTCCAATTTAGAGATTGGTAGAGACAAGAAGGTGAACTACTGGTTCTCAATGATTCAATTCATATACAGAAGAGAAGAATGGTAATGAGTTAGTATCCTTGTTCCAGGAAGGGGAATTGATTTCACAGTCAAATAGATGCATACTCAAAACCTGAGTCCCAGTCCACTTAAGTCTATACTACATGTTCTCTAGGCTTGAAGATAAGTTAAGTAAATGAAAAGGAATCATAGCTTATGAGAAGAACTCTGTAGCACTTTGAAGTGGAAACCTGAAATAATTTCTTTAGTTTTTTTTTTCTCCCATGTGATTCTTGTGAGAGCTTCCGCATATTTTGTGGTAATCTCATATCTGAAGTGGCAGTCTTGTGTCAATTCCTGAGGACTACTACGTGGGCCTTCAAAAGTAAATCAGAGCAAAAAGAGTAGCGGATACATTTTGAATGTGGACATTCCAGTTTTCAGAAAATCTGCATTCACATGAAGTTTTTTTCTCTCAGTAACTCATCTTATGTAACCTTCCTTTCCCCCCTTATACAACATGGAATATCAGACACTATTATGGACATATTATGGACAACATTATGGACATCAAACTATGTAGAGTTGTGACATATTACATATACTGTTTTTTATTACAAGTAACCAATTATTGTGATAGGACAAAAGATAAAATTAAATACAGATACGAAGTGGAAGAAAAATGACTTCAAAAATCAGTGTACAGCGATGACCAATGCTAGGATTATACCTTTCTAGTATCTCAGTGCAGGTGTTTTATGTTCCAAAACATTTTGAAGCTGAGAGATGAAATCACTGCAATTGTACTTTGGTCAAATAAACACCGTATTTTTTCTTGGCTTTCAGTCTGCTACAGATAAAAATGACATGAAATTGAAAAAGAGAGGAAATGATAACGAAGAACTGTGCTTTTTTGTAAGAAGCAAAGTCAATATATATTGCGCAGATGATGGAATTTGGAGTGAATGGAGTGAAGAGGAATGCTGGGAAGGTATGCACCGAAAGGATAGGAACTAAGTATCTTGGGGCTGTTTGCTTGCAAAATTTATTTCCGCTCAGTGTGCTTGTAAATTGGAGCTTAAAGGGTCTTGTGCATCATCTATCAATGAGGAGAGAGCAAGTATATCAATAGATGATAGGCTTACTGAAAATCTAATATTCATTTGGAAGTAGGAGTCTTATTCTTCTATAATAGGAATATTTTTGTTTGTCTGCTATGAACATTTCATAGTCCTTCTTGGGGGGAGGTCCAGAGTCCATTTTAGTCAACATTTTTTGTGCTTTCAATTTTCATAAGAGCAGAACTTTAAAAGGAAAGGGTGCAGCTGACTCCAAGCATCTAATACTAATTACTGGTAATTTTTCTAATTGAGACGTTTGGATTCATGTCTGTTGCTGTGATTAGAATATCCTGCCCAATAGCAGCTTGGGGAGGAAAGGGCTTCTTCAGCTCATGGTTCCTGGTTACACAGTCCATCAAGGCAGAGAAGTCTAGTTGGCAGAAATTTAAAACCACCCCTCACAGCAACAGTAAAGGGAAGAAAGCCATGAGTGTGCATCTGACTGCTGCTCAGACAACTCTCTCATTTTCATTCAGTCGAGGGCCTATCCCAGGAAATGATGCTGCCATATCCAGGGTGGGTGTTCTCACCTCAGTTAACACAAATAAGAAAATGCTCACAGGCACGCCAATAGGCCAACCTGCTCCAAACAACCTCTCATGAGGCTCTCTTCCCAGGTGATTGTACAGCACAGCAAGCTGACAATTACAACCTACCATACAGATTCTGTCAGTAGGGAAAACAATCCCTTCAGTATGGAAAGTGGTTTATGATAATAAATATATATTCAAATTTCATAGCGATGTAAACTTAAAGGCCTAGAAGGTGACACATAATATGCTTTAGAATATATTAACATCAGTACAAATTACTGAGCCCAGGGCCTGGTAGCACATGCCTTTAATCCCAGGACTTGGGAGGCAGAGGCAAGTGGATCTCTGCTTGAGTCCAACCTGATCTATAGAGTGAGTTCCAGGACAGCTAAGACTACACAGAGAAACCCTGTCTTGAAAAACAATACAACAACAAAAAATCCCAACTAACCAACCAAACAAACCAAATTACTGATAATTATTCAAAGTTGAAGAAAATCACTTCAGCATTGCTTATTTAGGTATTCATATATGAATGCAGCTGTAATAAATGTACAAATATAGACAATAATCTTTTATAAATTGTTACTCTTTCACATAATTTGACTGGAATCTTCCATTCTACCTCCCTACAAATATAGCAGAATCATTGTTCAACTTTGTTCATTAAATATTTTTAGAGTACCTACTGTAATCAGATTCCAAAGACTGGATATCCGGCAGTAATTATTGCTCTTGTCAAGTCTATATTATTCCCAAGTTGGGAAGAAATAAATAATAAACAAGCAAAATGTATTGTACAACAACTAGGGAATGTGGAGGAAAATAGTCAGGGTAGGAGGAGTTCAAGCAAGAGACGTATGTGATCAGAGAGAACACTGTTACTGCTTCTACAGTTTTCATTTTCGTTTCCACTATCAAAAATCTGGAAAACGTGTGTGTGTGTGTGTGTGTGTGTGTGTGTGTGTGTGTGTGTGTGTGTGTGTTGTTGTTGTTGTTGTGAATTATATTTTGTCATTAGTCCATAAATTGTATAAAGTGGACTTGGTGATTTTTCTTTACCATATTATCAAAATGTACATCTTTTTTCATTACATATAATCTTACTAGGAATTTGATGACTGAGATTTGTTTTGTCCTGACATGTATCTCTTGGTAGAGTCTTAATTTAGACTTACAAGTAAGGAACAAATTTTTTTTGGAGTTGCTTGCAGTTTTTTGTTTTTAGGATACATTTCATGTTGGGCACTTCAAGTAATAGAAAAATAGGACAATTATAAGCATCCATATATTTGTATATATACTATACATATATTTAGTTTAAAAGCAAATATTTATTCCCCTACAATTCTGGAGAGTGAAAATCTGAGCTCACGTCACTGACCACACTCAGGACCTCAGAAGAGTCTTTTTAGGACAATTAAAAATTTAATATTATTTTTGTTATTTTTTGAGGATTTTATGTGATACATTTTGATCATGCTAAACCCCTCAACTCCTCCCATATCCGCCCTCACCTTTCTACCCTCCCAAGATTGAGTGTCATCTTTCTTTAATAACATGAGCCTTGATCATTTGACCCTCCATGCCCCATTCCCACCAGCAGTTGGGCAACACACACTGGACTTGATGGGGGGGGCGGCGAGTAGTACAATAATATTGTGGCAATAAAATAACTTCTTAGGAATTGTCTTGACTAGAGAACACAAACAGAGCCTCATGAAAAGAACTGTCTGCCCTGACCTTGTTAATTTTCCATGTCAGGAGAATTGTCCTGTTCGTTACTTCTCTGCAAATTACCCCTGTAAATCTTTACTATCCTCAGCATTAGAATTTGACTCACAATTTTCTAGAGACAACTAAGTTCTGAAGGGAAAACGACAAAGACAAATTGAGATGGGGTAGATTTATAGGTCTGGCTCTAAAAGTTGACATGCTGTATGTTATTCCAAAACAAGTCAGAGATACCAGACTTGGAAGGACAGATTTGTTTAAAGTATCGCCACTGACAGTTCTCAAGATGCAGAAGTAACATTAACGCTTCACTCCTGGGTCTGGTGATCTCTTGGTGCTAAAATGCTTGCCTAACATTCGACCAACTAGTGCTGCTAAAACAAAAGAAAAACTACAAAAGAGAGAGAAAAAAGAAAATGTCACATCTAAATGCCAAACAGCAAAGTCACCTTTTGTTCTTCAGTTCAGCCTCTAAAATATGAGACAAATTTTAATTGGTGACCTTGTTAAGTTAGCGTCATTACCCTCATGTGCATCTTTATTAAAGATCAGAACTTGTTCCTGAGTTAGGACATAATAGGACTTATTTGTTTAATCACTTCACTCTTGTGTGTTTTTAATGAAAAATGTCACAACACAAAATTGCAAGCAAAATCATACGTGCTTTGGGAGTTATTTTTCTACTTGAAATAGGATAGATGTCACAGTTCCGCAAAGTAGTTTCTTCTGTATGAAAAGTTCACAAACAAAAGGAATGCTAAACTCAGACCCAACTGTGGTGTTTGTGCAATGGTAAGTATGTCAGCTTAACTCTATTTATGCAATACTGACAGTGTATTTATGAAATAATTAAATTTCAAAGGTCTTCATAAACCTTTAACATTTCTCCTTTTATTATGATTTTTTAATCCTAGGTTTCTCGGGGCCAGACTCAAAGATTGTTTTTATAGTACCAATTTGTCTTTTCTTTGTATTCCTTTTATTACTTCTTTGCCTGATTGTGGAGAAGGAAGAACCTGAACCACCATTGGTAAGTTGTTTAAGGTTATATCATGTTTTAAACAGCTGACACACAAAAATAATGCATTCAGAACTCATGGACCTGCATTTTATACTTTTGCCTGCTCACTATGAGGTACAATTGATACTATATACATTATGATGATATCATCAGAAAATAGTCATCCAAATTTGATACTAGAAAGCCACATTTGGAGGAGTGGTGGTTTATTTTGTCAAAATGGAAGGAAAATCTAGAACATGAAATGTTACAGATCTGTAGATTAGAAAATAGTCCAGGGCTTGAACTCCAGGAGACAAACAGGATCGGGAGGTGATAGGAACTTGAAACAGCTGGTAACACACATTTCCAGCGAAAACAAGGAGGAATAAATGTATTTGTACTTACCGTTCAGCTTACCTTCTCCGTTCTTAAACAGCGCAGGATACAAGTCAAAGTAACCGTGCCACTCACCATGGGATGGGTCTTCTTCCCATGTCAGTTAATGGAATTAAGATAATCTCTCACAAATGTGAGCACAGGTCAACCTGACCTGGAAAATCTCTCATTGAGATCCCCTTCCCAGATGATTTGAAGCTGTGTCAAGTTGATGCTTAAAACCAACTATGATGTAGACTTTAAGGAAAAATTGTGTTTGGAGAAAAAGATCTTAATACTGCGTGCTGTAAAGATAGAACTGGTGATACGCAGGTGATATGTTTCACTTCTCTGCTTGTTATATTCTGAGTTGTTAATATTAGTGAAATTGTATTCTTAATGATTTGTTAGTGATGGAGCTCTTTTTGTATTTCAGAGCTTGCATATGGATCTGTACAAGGAAGCTTATTCTTATGAAGAGACCCTCTGTTAAGCTACACTTTTCCAGGCATAGAGCCACCCGGAATGAGCCATATTAAACTCATTTTCTCTTCAAATTTCAAATACAACTTATTGCAAAACAGTGTTTGTTCTGATATTATTGGGTTTTTGATCAAGGGCTGGTTATGTCTCTCAAGTTGGCTTAGCATGGGCTTAGCATGTGATAGTCCTGACTCAGCCATTCAAGTCCTGGCATTACACATGTGTGACACATGCTCGTCTTCATTATTGCATTTAGGTACTCTTTATGGTGCACCAACCATTAGCAGATAGTAGACTTACTATATTCTAGTAATCGTTTTGTTTTCACATAAATATATGGTGAGAATTCTATATGTAGAGAAATCAAGAGGTGATTTGGATTTTATTCAGTGTTGCACTGATAAAAATAACATCATCTTGCAACTTGAACTAACCTAAGGAGATACTGCCAAATCTAGGAAGATGAGATTTCATGGTTTTGTGGACTGTTGTTTTAAATTGAATTTTGGGTGAAAGTATTCACCACAAATAAGAATGAAGGAAGCTTTAAATATATCCCCAGTTCTGTGAGTATCCCATTTCACAAAAGAAAAAGATGCTATAAGGCTGAAAATTATGAACTGCCCAGGGACTATACTTGAAAAGTTCAGAACTTATGCACAACACAGTAAAAACATGGGAATCCCCTGTGTTAGTTATAGGTAACCTTTCATTTAAAAATATTATTGTTTGTGCGTGTGCGTGTGCGTGTGCGTGTGTGTGTGTGTGTGTGTGTGTGTGTGTGTGTGTATGTGTGTGCGCGCGCGCACGCGCGATGAGAGTCAGTTCTCTCCTTCCACCCTGGGACTTGAGGCTCACACTAAGGTCATCGGACTAGCATAGCAAACTCCTTTACTTGCTAAGCTTTTTGTTGCCTTGTGTTTCTTCATTTTTGTCAGTGTTATGGCTTGTGGGGGACGGGGGGGGGGGTGTGCAAGAGGGGGCAGACACGTCAATGATCATATCAGAATTTAGTAATATTTTAAAAGTACATCCCAAAGGTAAATAACTTAGCCTCCTTGGTGTAGTAGACAGTTTTAAAAATATGTATGGAATAATAGACTCCAATTTTCAATCAAGAATCAAGTCTCCTTTAGATTAATATTTATGCAATGTTATTTTGAGTAAAGTTTCCTCTGGGAGCATGTTAGAATTCTCTACTCAAGACCTACCCAGCAGTTTACATTTGAACATCATTCTTCAGGGATTCATGTACATACTCAGTATTAAAGTACTGATATCTAAGTGTTGTAGAATGATAGTTGCTGAGGTCATTTAATGGAGAGGAGGGTTACCAAAATTGTGACTTTCATTGTGGCTGATCATCTCTTAAAGGAGAGAAACTGCTAAACCTAACTTGTAAGCCCAAATACCATTATTTAGAATAATTGTCAATGGTGATAGAAGGCACCATAATTTAGTATAAATTCTTTTCATTTTTGTTATTTTATACAGAAAATATTTATACAAAGATCAAGATCGTTAACCTTAAAAAGTTCACATTTTAAGTGAAAGTTGATCATTAGATCATTTCCTAGGATCCATGTAAGGGTGACGGGAAGTTTGGGGAAGAGTTTCTGTGTAAAAACACAGGGCGGTGCCTAGGGCTGGTGGTGGGACTTGAGGGCCTATGAGGTTAGGGGGCTCTGAGAACTGCAGAGAGCAGGAAGAGATTGAATGTGAGGTCCAAGGGAGCTGATGGTTGGGATGCTTGGCCCATTGCAACTGGGCAACTTTCTCCATAAAGCATACACCCTAGTTGAAAATTGGTGTCATGCGGATTATATAAATTTTCTTTATTAAAAATATGTGATAATTTTAGGTAAAGCTAGTTGTACTAATTAGTAAAGAGAGAGCAAAGGTACTCTTGTGAGAAAGTTTTCAGTTGTATAACTGTTCTATATAGCTCTATAACCTAGAGAAAAACTACTGGGCTTTGTAGTAGCTGGTAGATGATGGCTTCCTGTTGCCAATTTGGAGGCATATAAATATAATCAGAGATCATTAAAGTTAGTGGTGTGGTGTAGAAACTAAAAACCCAAACTCACATATGCAAATGCTGATACAAATTGGATTACAGAATAAGTAAAGTGTCTAGTTATGTGAAGTAAAAGGTATAATGAACCTGTAGCCTAGATAGTTTGCTTCAGTGAGTCCAGGTACTTAGAAATAAACAGTTCATTTGTCTGAAATTGGTTGACTTTCAGAACTTCCAAAACAAATGCCAGTTCTTCTTCATTCTAAGTGTCATTAATTAACGGAGGCCACTCTGCACTAGGAAACCCTTCCCTGTGTTTGCTGTTGATGAAGGGCTCAAAGTTCCAGTCTATTAATTGAAATTCATTTCTCTTTGGATTTCTTCTTCTGTCATACATACATCCCTGCCCCAGTTCACCCTCCTTCCACTTCTTCCCGTCCCCCCTCCCCCAGCTCCGACCTCCCCTTCCCCCCAGATCCACTCCTTTTCCCTTCAGAAAAGAGCAGGCCTCCCAGGGATATCCACCGAACATGGCCTAACAAGTTATAATAACACTAGAAACAAACCCTAATAATAAGGCTGGAGGAGGCAACCCTGTAGGAGGAAAAGGGTCAAAAAAGCAGGCAAAAGAGTCAGAGACACTCAGACTCCCACTGTTAGGAGTCCCACAGGAACCCCAAGCTAAACAACTACAACATACTTACAAAGGACCTGGCCATGCAGGCTCCGTGATTGCCACTTCAGTCTCTCTGAGCCTCTGGGAGCCCTGCTTAGTTGATTCTGTGGGCAGTGTTCTCCTAGTGTCCTCAACCCCTCTGGTTCATCCAGTCCTTTCTCCCCATCTTCCACAGGATAACCCAAGCTCCGCCTAATGTTTGGCTTTGGGTCTCTGCATCTGCTCCTATCAGCTGCCAGAGGAAGCCTCTCTGATGATGATGATCAGGCTAGGCACTGATCTATCTATAAGTATAGCAGAACATCTTTAGGAATCATTTCATTGACTTTTTTTTTTTTTTTTTTTTTTTTTTACCAGTTATGTTTGGTTCTACCCTTAAGTCTCTGGGCCATGCAGCTTCTGGTTCCTGGTCAACTCAGCAGTGTTGGGTATGGGCTCCCTCCCGTGGTGTGGGCTTCAAGTTAGACCAGTCATTGGTTGTCCACTCCCACAAGCTCAGAATCACCATTGCCCCAGCATATCCTGCAGGCATGACAGGTCAAACTTTTGTGGCTGGGTTGGTGTCCCTGTCATACCTTGCTGTTTACAGAAGATGGCCAGTTCAGGATTTGTATCCTCCCTTACTAGGAGTCCTAGATAGGGTTACCCTCATAGGTTCCAGGAAGTTTCCACTGCACTAGGTTTCCCCATCGTGCCCTAAATGCCCACCTATTCCAGTCTTCTCTCCCAGTACTCTCTCCCTCCACCCCTCCATCCCCACCTGCTCCCATCTCCCTGGGAAGGGGAAATAAAATAGAACAGATCAATTTAAATTCTTAACCTTTAGAGAGGAGGTTCCATATCATTTGAAAATACACTTCCAGATTGGTGGCAGGATTATCTCTGTTGACCTACGCTGTCAAAAACAACAACAAACAAACAAACAAACAAACAAACAAAACCATTTGAGTACTAGGGAGGTCCTAGCTGAATCAGGAACAGAGTGGGAGAACAAGGAAAGAGATACTATGATAAATGAAGACTCCACGGGAATAGGAAGAAGCAGAGTGCTAAAGAGGTCCCCAGAAATCCACAAAGATGACTCTGCTATAGACTACTGGCAGTGGTCGAGGGGGTGCCTGAGCTGACCTACTCTAGTGATCGGATGGCCGAACACCCTAACTGTCATGATAAAACCTTCATCCAGTGACTGATGGAAGCAGATGCTGAGATCCAGGGCCAGGCCCCAGGAGGAGCTCCAGGAGTCCAATTGGCGGGAGAGAGGAGGGATTGTATGAGCGAGAGATGTTGAGACCATGATTGGAAAAAGCACAAGGACAAATAGCCAAACTAGTGGAAACACATGAACTATGAACCAATAGCTGAGGAGCCCCCATGGAACTAGACCAGGCCATCTGGATAAGTGAGACAGTTGATTAGCTTGAACTGTTTGGGAGGCCCCCAGGCAGTGGGACCCGGACCTGTCCTTGGTACATGAGCCGGCTTTTTGGAGCCTGGGCCTATGGTGAGGCACTTTGTTCAGCCTTGGTGCAGGGAGGAGGGGACTGGACCTGCCTCAACTGAATCTACCAAGCTCTGCTGACTCCCCAGGGGAGACCTTGCCTTGGAGGAGGTGGGAATGGGGGGTGGATTGGGGGGGAGGCTGGGGGGGTGGAGGAGGGAGGACAGGGGAACCCATGGCTGATATGTAACACTAGAAAAATCTCATAAAATTAAAAACTTAAATCCTATGGTAACTTTGATAAAAGCTTATAAGAAGCGGACACATATTTACTTACAAAAATCCAACTGTATCTTAGAATACTGAGAGTTTGTAGTTTTTGAGCCTTTTTTTTAAAAAAAGAATTTATTTATTTTATTTTATGTGCATTAGTGTATGTATGTCTGTGCGAGGGTGTCGGGTGCCCTGGAACTGGAGTTACAGACGGTTGTGAACTGCCATGGGGGTGCTGGGAATTGAACCTGGGTCCTCTGGAAGAGCATTCAGTGGTCTTAACCTCTGAGCCATCTCTCCAGCCCCCATTTGAGCCTTCTTTATCCAGTTTTACCACAGAGAAATGGAAACTCTTAGTGGGTGAGTACAGCCTATAACACTATAACACTTTATCCCAGCCGCCAGTAGAGGACTAAGGTTTCTCTCCTTTGAGGCATGGTGGTAAATATTTCTCATCCTCAACCACTCTATATGGCAGATGTTGTATTGTAGGAAGTGATGTCTGAGACTTCTTTGTCTACATAGGTACCATAGGTAGGATGGAAACCTTACCCCACACATAACTAGTCAAGAACGATGGTCCTCCTAAACCTTACCCAAGCTGGTTTATAAGGAAAAGACTTCATACAGAGAGGTAAAGAGGAGCCAGGGAGTCTAGGGATGACTTTGTCCTGCCACTAAAAGGTACAGGTGGG